GTTCTGTGCCCTGCCTTGTTTTTCTCACAACTCCCTTCTCACAAGATGTTTTTCTTTCATTACTTTAGTAATTGAGTTGAAAGCTGAGGACCGGAGCAAGTTCCTGGATGCTCTTATCTCTCTGCTATCCTGAGGGTGAGCCCAACCTGACCCTGACCCCTGGCTTTGCCCTCCTTCAAGAGAGGCTTTTACTCGAGCTTCACATCAGAGCAAGGTCTCAAGAGATTGGGGGCCAGTACATTTTTCCCAAGAATGACCATCCTGAGGCTGCCAGCAGGGCCACAATGAGGCATTTTTGAAGAAGCTAATTTCGTTATGTCCCTTTGATCCCCTAAGAAAGACCTGGTATTCACCCTCCACTGGCCACGCTGTGGGGTGGCCATCGTGTGGGAGACACGTGTAACACATAGACTGCCTGGCACTGCCCTGAGGGGCTGCTTACAGCCTGCTGCCCCCACTGCTGCCTCTGCTGGAGCTCACTGGGCAGGCTTTCTGAGCTTTTGGGTGCTTCATCCTTGAATGCAGAGCTGTTGGCAGCTGCAAATCACAAAATGTCAGCTCTGCCTGAGGCTTCAGGCTAATGACTGAAGTATGGCTGCCCTGAGATGTTTGTTCCAAACCAGTGACAGGACACCTCAGCCAGGCCTTCTCCTTGCCCTACTCAATATCAATCTCAATCTTAATCCCAATCTCTCTCTCTCTCTCTTTCTCTCTCTCTCTCTCCCTCCCCCCTCCATCCCCCTCCTTGCTTCCCTCCCTCTCTCTCCCTCCCTTCTTTCCTTCCTTCTTTTAAAAATTTTTTATTGTTATAATAAACATGATGTACAGAGGGATTACAGTTACATAAATCAGGTAATTAACACATTTGTTTTTGGACAATGTTACCCCTTCCCTTACTCTCTCCCAGTTTTTCCCTCTCAGTCCCACCCATAAGTTTGTATAGTTTTTTGTTTTTTGTTTTGTCATTTGTGGGGCTTGAACTCAGGGCCTGGATGCTGTCCCTGAGCCCTTTCACTCAAGGCTAGTGCTCTACTATTTTGAGCCACAGCGCCACTTCCAGTTTTCTGGTGGTTAATTGGAGATAAGAGTCTCATGGACTTTCCTGCCCAGGCTGGCTTTGAACTACAATCCTCAGGTCTCAGTCTCCTGAGTAGCTAGGATTAACAGGTTTGAGCCTTCGGTGCCCAGCAGTATAGTTCATTTCAACAAGTGTCCAGGGATTGCCTTTCTTTTTTGTGTTAGTACTGGGTCTTGAACTCAGGGCCTGGACACCACTGTTCCTTCACTTTTTGTTCAAGCGTGGCTCTCTGCCACAGCTCCACTTCTAGATTTTTGCTGATTAATTGGAGGTAAGAGTCTCATAGACTTTTCTGCCTTCAACCAGGCTCTTTAGATCTCAGCTTTCTAAGTAGGCATGAGCGGTCAGTGCCTGGCACAATTCCTCGTTCTTAAGGAATACATGAAATGGATGTGCAGAGCCTGCCCTGTGTCTTGACCATCTCTCAGTGGATGCCTGCATCCAGCCCTGCCTCTCCCTCAACCTAGACTAGAGGCCATTTATGTGGTACGTGTCCCCACCAAGGCTCAGGCTAGAGTGCCTTCAGGCTAGCATCCAGAATGGCCTAAGGAGCTTCAGGGACCTCACAGGTGTCTCTTAGGGTAGCCTTGTGCAAAGGACCATGTTAAAGAAGGGGCTCTGGGTCTTCAGCCAGATTTGTAGGTCATTAGAAGTGACTTTGGGTTGGGTCCTTAACTAGACAGAGTCTGCTTCTGACAATGAGGCTGATGCCTTCTTCACTTAGCAAGTGTGCTATTATAGTCAGCACCAGGTTCCTCAGCAGTGGAGCTGCACTGGAGGCAGTGATGCCAACATTGCTACTGTGTTGGTATCGGAGGGTGCAGGTGGGCTGGTGGGATTTGGAAGAGCTGTGGGCAAAGGCTCTGGGCAGGATAAGCAACTGGGAGGTCCCTCCACTGAGAGGGTGCCCTGTGGGGAGGGGGTCTAGAGTGTTAAGGACTTTCAGATACAACAGGGGGTGTAGTGAGGGCAGAGGGCACCTTAGTGGTTCAGGGGTGGCTCTTACCCCATAGATACCCCAAGGCTGAGATGAAGGCACTTAAAAGCAGCAGAGGCCTCATTTGAATTGGCTACATTTGGGAGACACATCAGAATTGCTCTAATATGTTTGTGATATTTTTTTTTTTCCTTCTTTTGCAGAACTTGATTTCTTCCAAAAATGACCTCCTCCTTATTTATATCTACTGGCTTTTATTTAGATTTTAAATTTTGGGCATAGTTTGAAATGCTTGAACAATGCCTCAGTGCCTTTTAATGGAATAAAATGTTTGTTTTAGGTTCTGTTTCCCATCTTGGTTCTAAATGTGGAGCCAGCACAGGTGTACTCTGACGCTCCTTTTGGTCCAAGGGAACCTGGTTCCTGTGCTCACAGCATCCTCTAGCACAGGAATGTGTGACCCCTCGAGACCCCAGGGACAAGGTCTCCCCACTCTCCCCTCCAGGCTTCCATGCAAGTGGATGGAAAGGAGTCTGGACCCTACAGCCCTGGTCTCTACACAGTACCAAGCATGCCCAGTGGGAGCTGGCTGTGTCTTCCTGCCTGTCATTTCCTCCTGGTCTTGACAACATCATCCCCTTGCGCCGCCCCCCCCCCCCCCCCCACACACACATCAAGGCCCTCATCTTGCCATCTAGCGCCCTGTTGAGGTGCCTTGTCCCTGAACACGCCAAGGGCATGCTTCTCTGCAGAAGAGGAAGACAGCAACAGGAAGGCCTCAGGCTGGAAAGGGCCTGACTAGACTAGCAGATTCTGAATGGACACATTGTGTCCTTCAAGACCTGCCATCTGCCTCATCCACAACCTGGTCACAGAAGGTCCACATTAGATGAGGTCTTGGCAGACTCCATGGCCTTCAAAGCCTTCCTAGATGGGGGTAGGATCACCCCTCCCAGACATCCCTTGGGCATAATGAGTGTGGAAGGGTTGGGAGGTGAGTAGAGTGTACCTGTAAGGACTAGCAGCCCTGGGCAGTCCTTGAAAGCAGCAGTGATTTGTTTGTGTGTGTGTGTTGTTTGTATAAGGTCTCAACTGTGTAACCCAGACTAGCCTTCAACACATAATCCTCCTGTAGGTGTGTATATATGCACACGTTCTGGGGCTTAAACTGAGTCAAGTAGTAGACTAGCATTGAGCCACAGCTCCACTTCCAGCTTTGTGGTAATTAATTGAAAATAAGAGACTCTCATACTTTCCTGCCTAGGTTGGCTTTGAACTGTGATCTTCAGATCTCAGCCTCCTGAGTAGCTAAGATTACAAGCCTGAGCCACCAGCTCCCAGCCAACTGGGCAGTTCCTGAAGGCAGCAGTGATTAGAGATTGTTTATTTTTGATAAGGTTTCAGCTATGTAGCCCAGGCTGGCCTTCAACACAGTCTTTCTGTGGTCAGTTTTAAGTTTGTAGGGACAAGTCCACAAAGAATAGCTTGGAAATGAGGGTGCAGTAGGTGGGGGTCCCTTGGGAAAGGGCAGATTGCAGTGGACTCACAGCTGAATTGAAGACTAGCTTCTCTGCCTGTGAACTCCAGTGATGGCACTAGCCATGAGTGGCATTTGCCCTGTCCTTCCTAGCATGGTCAGGTGGGGCTGGCTCCCCAAGTCCCTCGTGCTGCCCACTAGCAATTTAAGAAAGCTCAAATCCAGCTGCCCTTCGGTACTCTGCCCTGAGGGAAAGGGCTTGTGTAAAATGAGCCCCTCCGTGTGTGAATGAGTTCCTAGCTAAGTACCCTGAACCCCGCATTCCCGGACAACAGTATTGTATCCACCCACTGATGACCACTGCACAGCCAGGACCAGCTGCCAGGTATGACGACTTAAACTCCAGTCCAGCCCAGGGGCTGGTTCTAGGACCACAAGCTCCCAAGCTTGGCCGATCTTGGTTCCTGTACACAGCCAAGCAGGGCTGCTGTTTAGGCCTTGCTGAGTCAGGTGGCTTGCTGGGGGTCTTTGTTCCTGAAGGTTGTGTTTTGGGAGCTCACGCCACCAGAAAGTCCAGCTTCGCTGGATGTCCCACCTAGTACCATCCCCACAACTGGAATCTGCTCTGGGCCTCCTAACCTTGGGGGTCTCCTCCTTTCCCACAGTGGAGAACCTGGCCAGGACTGGATACTCCCTGTGACTGGATGTAGGCCAGCCAGTTCTGGGCAGAGCCCTGGAGATCAGGGTTGGGGGCAGGTGCCAAGTCTTCCTGGTGGCTGGCTTGGACACCAACTAGCAGTCTCTTCCCCCAGCCACTGCTCTCCTGTGCCTGGCCTTTTGCAGAAGGTAGAAATGCACTGGAAACAATGAGCTCTGGGCTATTATAGATGTGCTCCTGCCCATTGGGATCCCTCTTCCCCATCCCAGCACTGGCTCCTAGATTTCACCTGCTGTGGGAACATCACATTGGGTGCTTTCCAGCAGTAGAGCCTGAACAGAGGTGCTGGTGAGCAGTGGTGTGGTCTGGCTACTGGGCTAGCAGGGGAGGGGAGGGCACAGACCTGCTGTACACAGCCACACTGTGGCTGACAAAGGAACCAGGACAAGGGCCTGGAGCAGAGCCCAAGATATTGGGCAACTGGCCTCTTCCCATGACAACGTTGTTGACTGCAGCAAGACCTGCTAGATTGGGCATACATCCTAGATTCAACTTGCTCCCATTCCACAGTTTGGAAGCGTCACCATCCATACTGTGGCCATTTAATAGAATGCTAGGGACAGGGCTGCTTCCACCCCTCCCACTCCTAGCCCCATGTGGGGCTTCCCAGCCTTGCAATATATTGTGGCTGTGTAAACTCCCACCCGGGGCCTGGGGAAAAGTTTATAGGACCTAGGGGCCAGCCTCGAGGGAGCCCCCACAGGACCCTTTGGGGATAGGGTGTTGGCGGGTGGGTGGGAGAATGGTCTGCTAGGCAAAGGGTGAGTGGACAGAGGACAGGAGACCGTGGGAGTGTTCAAACGATTTACTAAGCAAATTCTTAATCTCCCCGCTCCCGCCCACAAGCTGCAAGGACCATACAATGCCCCTGCCCTCATGTTCAGGCTCTGGTGCCCACAAGAGGAGATGGGGGCAAGAGGGGCCGCTGATGAGGGAGACCAGGAAGTCCAGGCCAATTTCCTTGGTTCCTTGCGCTGAGGCCCCCCGCTGAGAAGGAAAGGCAGTTTATACACACCCCTCCAGCAACCCTGCCTGCGGATCCTGGGCTCTCCTATCTGCCCGCTCCTAGATCAGCGGGAGCGGATGGAAAGTAAGGCAACAGCCAAGATCCTCCAGATCCTGGGGAGGAATTGGCATCGGCAGTCTGGTGCCCACTCGGGAGACAATCTGAGAAGTCCCACCAACGTCCTAGCCAGCGCTGCGTAAAAAACAAGACAAAACGAAAGATCGAGTTCTCAAGTACTCATAGGTTTCGAGGCTGAGCTCTGAGTGTTCAGAGAGCTTTGGGCGCGGGCAGGTCTGGTCGGTGCTCCAAGCCTAGCATCCCTCTGAGCTTGGTGGCCCAGCAGTGGTCGCAGCCATCCAAGCGCGGCTTCCCAGGCCGATCCTCCAGCGTACGGGCTTGGCTACGGAGAAGTGGCCCCCGCTGTGCTCCGCACTCCTAAACGTAGTTCTTCTTGTCGTAGTCGCCGCTGGCCGTGGGTCTCCGTGGTACGGAGTACTTGACCGGGAGGCTGAGGTCCGGCCGGCCGGCACAGACCCAGGCGCCGCAGCACACGAGGCCGCCGCCGCCCATGAGCAGCGCCGACGCCGCCCAGCCAATGTACAGCGCCGCGCCCAGCTCGTACTTCTGAGACACCGGCACCGTGGGGTCGTAGAACTCGCGGACCACGATGTTGGCGAACCAGCAGAGGGGCACGAGTGCCAGCAGCCCGCACAGAGCGTAAAGCGCGCCGCCCGTGAGGGCCACGCGCGCCTTCGCCGGGCCCGGGGCCACGCAGGTGGTGCACTGCGCGCCCGTCAGGGTCACAAACAGGGCCACCAGCGCCAGCAGCACGGCGCCCACCGTGAGCGCCCGCGCCGCCTGCACCTCGGCGCTCAGCGCCAGCACCGACTCGTATACCTTACACTGCATGTGCCCGGTGCTCTGCACCACGCACGACATCCACAGCCCCTTCCAGGTGGTCTGCGCCGTCACGATGTTGTGGTCCAGGAAAGCGGTCACCTGCCACATGGGCAGCCCGCACGCCAGGATCAGACCCACCCAGCCCACCAGGCACAGCACCAGACCCAGGATTTCCAGCGCTGCGGACCCCATGGCTGAAAGTTCAAGGCGCGCTCGATGGCCCCTTGGGGCCTTGTCCCCACGCGCGCACGCCCGCGCGCGACAGTACTTTGAAGGTGTGGTTCGGTGCTCCGGCCGCGCTGGAGTCCGAGCGTCCCTGCCTTCCCCTGAAAGTTGCGGCTGCACCACCTCAGGTTTGCTCGCCCTTCTTGGGGGCTTCTTATTTGAAATCTCGGTGGGCGGACCCTTGCCCCTCAGGTCCAACCTCCTGGATTGGAGCAACCAATCCATGCGTCCGCCCTAGGCCAGCGGCCAGTCGGAGCCCCCTGGCAGGTGGAGTTAGGGAAACTCCGGCGCTTGGATCTCTCGCAGCAGCCCAGCAGCCCAGCCGCTGGGGAGCAGGAGGATGGCGGGGGTGGGGATTAGGGGGAGGCTCTACCGACCGTGGTCCCAGTTCCCGCTGAGCGCTGAACGCTTTCTGGGCTGGTCTAGGGTGGGTGCGAGCCGTGTCGTCACTCCTGCGTGCACCCCCCTCTCTGTGGGAGCTGCATGATCTCACACCTGCACCACCCCCTACATTCCAGACCAAACCCCTCTCCCCATCCACAGTGCGCAGAGGCCTGGAGCAAGAGAAACGGAGGTGGGGGGCGGGGAGGCCGGGAGGGGTGTCTCTAAGTCCTTTGCTCAGGTGAGATAAACACAACTCAGCCTTCCATCAGAAAGTCCACACTGACATCCAGGCCTGCCCTGAGCACTCTCCCTAGTGCCCTAATCCCCACTACTGTCCCCAAACCGGAGACCCCAGGCAAGCCTGTGGGAGTCAGGCCCAGGATCCTCACTTCATTCGCTGTCCTGCTCAACACCAACCACCACCACCACCACCACCACCATTCTCTGCCTCCCTAAAACCTCAGGCACTGAATTCAAAGCCAGCCTCAAAAAGGGCCTTTTTCTGAATGCCCCCCCTATCTGTTCCCTATCTGAGGGGCTTTGCAGGCCCCTCAACCTTGTTAGTCTGGGTATCCTGCTTGTGATGCTGCCCACCTCCCCCCCCCCCCCCATCCTTTGAGGCCCAGCCATGTCAGGTGTCAGGCAATATGCTTGAAAGAGAGCTCCAGTGTTGGCCAGTGACCCAGAAGTGTTGGGTCCTGCCTGGGAAACCTACTCTGATCCTGATCTTCAGACAAGAGAAACACAAAGGAACATGAAGAGTTGAGCCCTGTCCTCCCACCAATATCAGTGGTGCCCTACCACCCCAGCCCCCAAGCTGCCCTCCGGAAGCCAACTTGGAGTTTCCTGGCCAGGAGGAAGAGCCCCCATCCTTGCTGGAGGAGGGAGGTGCGGGATTTCCGGGCATTCTTCTGCACAATGGCCCAGCCATTTCTTGAAAGGTCCACTGGGGTGGATGCTGTGGGCCCCTGAGGCTCGGGTGGGGACGCTAGGCCCCACAACCCACAACCCCATGAGGGCACCAGTCCCATTCCAGCCTTCTCTTCCCTATTCCCTAACAGCCCCTTTGTTTCCAGCTGTCTGGACTTCCAGCCCTGGACTGAGGCCACCGGATGCATTTTTGTTTTTTCTTTCCTTTGGTTCGAAGTGCTCTGGCCTCTATAGAGAAAGTATGCCATTATTGGGGGCAGGCATATTGGCTGGAGCTTTGGTAAGTCTTTTCCTCTTGGGCCCCCCAATTCTCCTTCTTGAGATGGCTCTGACAGGGGTAAAGGAGGTAAGACTAGGTCCTTGTTGATCCTACACAAGAAGGTAATAAGGACAAGTTTGATGGGCCCTAGGTCAGGGGAGAAGTCTTTATCTCCTACCTTGCTCTTAACCAATCTCTGCCAATAGGTGGCTCTAGCCACCACATTGCTTCCTGCTTTCCTCCTTCAGTAGACCTGAGGACCTCTTTTCTATTTATGAGCCCTTCCCATATCCCAGCCTTCTACTCCAGGGGCTTATCCTTTCAATCCTGCCTCCCCCTTACTCCACCCCCCTACCCCATATGTCACCATCTACCTGGGTGGCTGCTGAAGCCATTACCCAGCTGGGCTATCCTGGCAGGTATCTCTTGGGTCACACCCTGCTTATAACCCTCTATTGCTCACATTCCCCCTTAGGTATTGTCTCCTAACTGGATACCTAGTGGCTCATGCTGTAATACTAGCTATTCAGGAGGACGAGATCTGAACACTGTGATTCAGAGCCAGCTAGGGCAGGAAAGTGTGTGAGACTCTTACCTCCAATTAGCCACTAATTGACCACCAAAAACCTTGAGCTATGGCTCAAGTAGTAGAATGCCAGTGTGGAATGAAAAGCTACAGGATAATGCAGGCCCTGAGTTCAAGTTCTAGTGCTGGCACGTGTGCGTATGTGCACGCATACACACACACACACACACAAATCCTGACACACACACACAAGCCCAGATCAACATAGCCTTGTAAGCACTGGACTTGAACAGTCCAACTGCATCCATTTGACCAACACTCTATCCTTTGACCAAACGCCTTCCTGCAGACCTTGAGCAGATCTGTCCATTTTCCACTTCAGTCTCTTCCGTCTGTGGTGTGTTTCTGGCTTCATTCTTGCTTAGCTCCTAAGTTACATTGCTGGACACTTCCCAGAAGTCTAAGCTTGTCATACCTAGTAGAGTAGGGATCTTCCCCCTGCATTAACCCCATGTAGGAAAGTGCCTGCTGCCCCTCTAGCCAGCTTGGGAGACAACCAGCCCGAGGCTCACTCTCCCCTTCACCTGCCTATCTTCCCTTTCTCTGCCATTTTAAGCCCATCCTCAAGGTGGCCTTGGTGAGCTTATGTTTCTTTGAGTGGTAGAATCTCTGATTCTATGGGCTCCAACCTGAAGCAGAGACAGGACCACTGTAAAGAGGGCAGCCAGGGCTGATCCTGCCCCCCTCAAAACCACCCAAGCTGAGAGTAGCATTGTCTTCGCTAGAGGGCACAGCTTAGGAAGTTTAAGGGACTGATGCTAAACTACCAGCTAAGTGGGAAAGAGAATGGTGAAGAGTTTTCTGAAGAGGTGACATTTCAACAGGATCCAGGGAAGAAGTTCTGGGCAAGCAGAGAGAAATGCTGGTCAAAATACTGGAAATGTGAGGCTAGGCTTGGTGGTGAATGCCTGCAATCCCAGCTAGTTGGGAGGTGAAGGTAGGAAGATTATGCTCTGGTGCCAATTCCAGGCCAAAGCTCCAGACCCTATTTGAAAAATAAATAATGCTTAAGGATGGGGGTAGGGCCAGAAGTGGCTCAAGTGGTAGAGTGCCATGTGAGGCTGAGTTCAATTTCCTTTTTTAATTTTTATTTTCATTTGCTATTATTATTATTATTGTGATGTATAATAGGGTCGCAGTTATATAAGTCAGGTGATGAATTTATTTTTTTGGACAATGTCACCCCTTACCTCGCTTTCTCCCAGTATTTCCCTCCCATCCCCATCCACAAGTTATATAGCTCATTTTTAACAGAGTGTCTAGTGAGACCACTGCTGCATTTGTTCACCCTTTGTCCCTCTGTTTCTGTGCCCCCCTTACTCTCTGAAAGACAGATAAACGAACAAGAAGGAAAGAAGGAAGAAAAGAAAGAAAAATGACAACAAAGAAAAAAAATTCTTGTTTCCATTTCCTGGGCAAGTTCAATTTCTAGTACCTAAGGAGAAAGGATAAAAGCTGGGTATCAGGGGAGCTGGGAAGGTGGCTCAGTGGTAGAGCGCTTGCCTTGCATGCATGAGGCCCTGGGTTCGATTCCTCAGCACCACATAAGCAAAAAGAAAAAAGCTGGAAGTGGTGCTGTGGCTCAAGTGGTAGAGTGCTAGCCTTGAGCTGAAGAGCTGAGGGACAGCGCCCAGGCTGAGAGGTCAGGCCCCACGACTGAACCCCCCCCCCAAAAAAAGCTGGGTATCAGTAGTTCACACCTATAATCCTGAGATCTGAAGACCAAGGTATGAGAAACTTTTATGTCTAACTAACCAGTGAAAAGCTGAACTGAAGGTGTTGCTCAAGTGGTAGAATGCCTGCTTTGAGTGAAAAAGCCAAGGGGGAATACAGGGCCCTGAGTTGAAGGAGAGAGACAGACAGACAGACAGACAGACAGACAGACAGATCTTAGAGGTGCAGAAGTAGATTTGGGGGATTTAGTGCATACATACTACATACATACCTACAAACAATTCTAGAGGAAGGTCAAGATTATGCCCCAGACTGGGGGTGTGCTGGGACAATGAATATCTGCGCTGGTGAGGGGCTGGCCAGGCTTGCTGGCCAAGGCCACCTGCTCATTCACAGCTATTGTTCTGCTTTCCCTGGGGAAGTTCAGCAGGATCTCATTAATTGTGTGAGAGAAAGGCCTGAGTCTGCAGAAAAGCAAAGTTTATCTTGAGCAGCTGCAAGCTGACCCTGCCCCAGGGGGACCCGCTGACCTTCCAAGGCCAATCTAAATCTGGATGGCAGGTTCCTGGGCTTTGGGCTTTGGAAATGTTCTAGTTAACAGATAATCATTTCAGAGGAAATGAAAAAACAACACTTTTTCTATCTTTTAGCTTTGAAACAGTTAAAGAAGTTTCCTGAAGATATTTGGGGAACCTCTCAGTGCATTGTTGCCTGGTGCCCTTTCTTTGGTTTTGTTTTATATGACAGTACTGGATCTTGAACTCAAGACCTGGGCACTGTCCCTGAACTTTTTTGCTCAAGGCTAGCACTCTACCACTTGAACCACAGCTCCTCTTTCAGCTTTGGAGTTAAGAGTCTCACTGAATCTTATGTCCAGACTGGCCTTGAACTGAGATCCTCAGATTTCTGTCTCCTGAGTAGCTAGGATTACAGGCATGAGCCATCAGCTCCTGGCTTCCAGCGCCCTTTCTTGACAAGAGCTGAGAGCCTGCGTTCCATGTAGTTGATGAGGGAGTTAAGGCGCCTTGTGGTAAGAGTCGTGGGCCTTTGGGTAAACCCCTTGTAAGGAGCACAGAGTAAGTACCCAGCCTTAGCACAGCTCACACTGATGTTCTCTGTGGCCAAGAGCTGGGTGAAAGTCAGACAGTCCTGCGGACCTCAGACCTGACCTGACCTCTCTGAGCCATACCCATTGGTAATGAAGCTGCCCTCTGTGGCAGAGTTTGCAAGCTCACCGGAAGGCAACCCCAAACAGGGCTCTCTGTTGCCTTTCTGACTCCCCACTCTACT